AGATCCTACATCAATAAAATGATAACCATCACCTTGATTAGCATCCAGTAACCATTTTATTTATTTATTTATTTTTCAGATTTCTATACCGCCCTTCTCCTTTCGGACTCAGGGCGGTGAACAGCTAAGATAAAAAACATTTATACATAAAAGTTAAAAAGAGATTTAAAATAATTAAATAAATTTGGGCCGTAATTTAAAACTTTTCAATTAAAATCCATATCAAATTTTAAAACCAACCATAAAATCAAGACAGCCTGGCTAACTGAAAAAAATAGGTTTTTAGGGCCCGACGAAAAGTCCGGAGGTCGGAGATCACTCATATCTCTGGGGGTAGATTGTTCCAGAGGGTAGGTGCCACCACAGAGAAGGCTCTCCCCCTGGGGGTCGCCAGCCGACATTGTCTGGCCGATGGCACCCTGAGGAGGCCCTCTCTGTGGGAGCGAACTGGCCGGTGGGAGGCAATTGGTGGCAGAAGGCGGTCCCGTAAGTACCCTGGCCCTAAGCCATGGAGCACTTTAAAGGTGATCACCAACACCTGGTATCTGGTAATCTGGTAATCAGTGCAGCCAAGTCACATTCTGGATCAGCTGCAGCTTCCAGGTGCTTTCAAGAACATCGTCATACAGATATATTTGACTTGTCTTCCATTTTGTTGGTAAATTCCTTATGAAATAAAAATGTGCAGTCAAGCAATGTACACTATTTCTTCAGAAACCAGTACACAGCTTCTTGGTTGTCTTTCAAACTTCAAGTTTTACATTATGGAGGGAGGGGGTCATTTGTTAACTTAGAAAATACCTGATAAGGGATGCACATTCTACAAGTATTTTAAATCCATATCTTTTAGAATGCAGTCATTTCTAAATCACGGCCTTCCCATCAGCAGCGTACGGTTAAATTCAACATTGTGTCTTTTATTGCGCCACCTTTATTTCTATGTAATTAATGCGGATTGTGTAATTAAAAGATTAAGAGTGTGTCTGGAATGAAGGGCATACCTCTTTGCAGTTGGCATCAGAAGCTGGCTTGAATCTTTTCAGAAAGTCTAATTACATTGCCAAACATTGTTGCCTATCTAATGTCTAATTAACATTGGAGCCAAGAATGCAACTTTTCATATTTTAAACTGGTACAAGAAGAGAAAAGAGAGTTAATTAATGTTTCTGTCTATTCAATTGACCCAAAACAAAGCAGAAAGTAGTTTTCTGACTGCTAATATTGCTTAATACATTGTAAGCCGCCCTGAGTCTCCAGAGAAGGGTGGCATATATAAATTGAACTAATAAATAAATAAATAATAAATAAATAATATATTTTAGCTTTCTGGGCTCTTACGTAGCAAAATAGCTGGAGTATCCATATATTGGCACTGAATTTGGCTCACAAAATTACCGCAATGTGTTGTGCTTGGGTCCTTAAAGACTGTAAATATGTCTTGCGCTATATATTCGAATAAATAAAATATATGAGAAGCTGACCAGATATTCATATCCATGACCTTGAAGAAACATCTCAATTCTAAGCTGAAAGACATAAATATAAATCATGTCTGGTCCAATATCTTTGCCACCCATTTCAAATTCCAGATTCAGAAGTTCATCAGTTGGCAATTACATCTTATTCCAGTTGGCATATGGACCCAGCATTTTCTTAAAGGCAGCAAGGAGCTTTGAGGAGGTTAACTAATTCTCCATTCCATGTGGCCGCTACCCAAGTCTATAAGCCATTGTGAATGCTGAGAAAGTCATGCCACTCTGTTTAATTATTTGTCCGTGAATATAGCAATAGCAATAACATTTAGACTTACATACAGCCCCATAGTAGTATATTTAGATTTTAGAAAGAGTGCAGAGAAGAGCAACAAAGATGATTAGGGGACTGGAGGCTAAAACAAATGAAGAACAGTTGCTGGAACTGGGTATGTCTAGTCTGATGAAAAGAAGGACGAGGGGAGACATGATAGCAGTGTCCCAATATCTCAGGGGTTGCCACAAAGAAGAGGGAGTCAAGCTGTTCTATTCTATTTACAGCACTCTCTGAGCAGTTTACAATGTCAGCATTATTTTCATATTTTCCCCAACAATCTGGGTTCTCATTTTACCAAAGGATGGAAGGTTGAATCAAGCTTGAGCCCCATCAAGATCAAACTCCAGGCTTTGGGCAGAGTTTGCCTGTAATAGTGCACTTAACCACTGCACCTCTATGACGACAAACTGTTTAGGAATGCACAAAAGATGACTACTTCCTGAAGATTTTCATCCAATCAAGCTTGGCTTTTTATCTTTTTGACATTCCTTTACTTTGGAATACTTTTAATTTTTTAAATCAGAAAAATAAGATTAAAATATGAAGAAGAGAGAGACCATCAGCATAAGCCACAAAACTCTTCAGTTATTTTTATTTTATTTTTTTTTCACACAAAACAACATTCTTTTAGCATGATATTTCTGCAAAGACCATTTATATATCCTCAAGTATAAATATTTTGGTACAAACTCTTTGAAAGAAAAAAAACTGAACTCAAGTTCAACCACTTGTGCTCACACTGGAAAGGGTGCAGTGGTGATAAACAGATGCAAGTTAGATGGCATAGCTTGGGACTTGGTTTTTAGTTTTCTAAAGCCAACAGGAATTGTCATATCCCTGGGTGGGCTCAGACTGCCCTGTAGATATGGTACCATCTAAATAGAGATCATATTCATGTACCACATAGTCAATAATAACATTCAGGAATGTCTGCAGGATTTGGTCAAAAAAAAAGTCAAGATAATGGCCCAGCCATGGAATTGAAGGTATGCCATAAAAAAGGATGGAGCTTCAATCAGACCATAATGGCTACTGTCTTGACTTTTGATTGCACCCTAGGAATATCCTTGTGTTAGAAATTCTGTTTATATAAAGCACCACATAGAGCAAATAAGGAGTACAATCACCATGTGCCTTACTGCTTAACTATACTACTGTAACAGGAAACAGGAAACTACTTAGAACAAAAAAGCATAGAGTATGTACCATAGATCCAAACTTGTAAACACTGCCATCTACTGGCTGAATACCACTGTGGTTGTTGCATAGAAATATGTTCCAACAATGAATTCCAACACCTTGGTACATTAGAAGCTATCTAGCTATATAGAAGCTAATGATAACAGTATAATTGCTATCATTATCATTACATTAATAGATTAATTCACTATTGAAAACTTTTAATACCAGGGGTTATGCTGCTAGGAGCAGAAAAGTCAGTCTTTACTATTATTATTCCTGTTATTATCATTATTAGATATCAAAACTCACCTTTTTTCAGGTCTGTGGAAGATGCATTGTATTCTAACATATCCAAGCAAGTTTGATATAATTCTTTCATCTACTTGCAGGTAATTCATAGATATTTACCATTTTAAAAGAAAAAAACCCGTAATATTCAAAATCACATCAATCAAATTATGTTCCTTTAAAAAAAAAAAAAGCACACAATGATCCCCACCACCCCCAAAATACAAAAAATCCCAGTTAGCATCCACAGCACTTGCAAGACGATGCATTAAAATATAGTAACTGTATATATTAAGGTTTGGTTAAAACAATTCTCCGGGTAATTAATGCATGCATATTCGGTGAGGTAAGGAAAGTTAAGTGACATTCAATAAACAATTACATAAGCTTTTGCTATGGTTTTTCATTTCCCAAGACACTTCCAATAGTTGAATTTTGGATACCATCAGAAAGACATATCCATCCGCAAAAGTCTTCTGGTACATTCGTTTTAAGTTGGGAAGGAGCCACAGACAGTATCCAACTTTTTAAACACTGATCTTGTTTTCTAGAATGGCAAGCTTTTTTGATACAGCTTCCAGTGAGCAAGACTTAAGGAATAACATACACAGAAAGAAGATGGACATGTATTTTCAGTGGTTTCAATTCAATAGGATGGACTGAATAAAAATCATTGAAATACTGTACAAAGAACACAAATAAGTAAAAAAAACAAACCCCAAACAAAATTGTTGTCTACAGATATGAATCAACCTCAGCAATTTTAAGATGTGCGGACTTCAACTCCCAGAATTCATCAGACAGCAAGGGAGTTGAAGTCCACACATCTTAAAAAGTTGCTCAGGTTGGGAAACATCGTTCTAAGCAAAATAGAACTATCAGCTCTCCAGAAAAGGTCTTGGTCAGTTGTATCCCCATCACCACCAAGTTTCTGCTGCTGATCCTAGATATTTTAAATATCCCTGAATATAATCCATGGATTATATTGGATGAACATTCAATTTCTGCTTAAAGTCACATTCTTTTAAGAATGATTCATTCAAGGTTCTAATAGCTGCCAAGAATAGAAGTCACTTAAGCAAAAAATGGAAAGAGGTGAGTACAGCATCTTTCTCCTTTCTGACTTCCCCATTCTCCAGTATCATTTTTCACCACACCACACCACCCCTGTATATCTACCTGTATCTATCTATCTATCTATCTATCTATCTATCTATCTATCTATCTATCATCTACCTATCCATCAATATCTAAATCTGTTTCTCTCTCTGTGTGTCTCATCTATCTTATCTCTCTCTCTCTTTGTCTGTCTGTCTCTTTCTTTCTATCTATCTATATCCATCCATCCATCTTTATCTATCTATCTGTATCTATCTATCTACCTATCTATCTATCTATCTATCTATCTATCTATCCATCCATATCTCCATCCATCCATCCATCTATAGATCTATCTATTTATCTATCTACCTATCTATCTGTCTGTCTGTCTGTCTGTCTGTCTATCTATCTGTCTATCTATCTATCATCTATCGCTACATCACAGCAGGAGATATGAGGAATATTCTATGCATTGTGGGTAGAGAGCTAGTTTTGAAATAAGATCAGTAGCTACATAAAATAATCCTAAACAACACATGCAGCAATCACTCATTTTTCATTGCTTAGGAAGAACCATAAATATCCTCCTCTTCAAATCTCAAGCACAGCGGACAAGTGCATCACCTGGTGTAAATCAGGTTTCTGCTTTCCATGATCACTTCAAGCCCAAAAGATGCCCTAATGCAGCCTATTCCAAGTGGCTGCCAAAGGATATGTTTTTGTGTCAATGCCTTTATGAGATTGTCTACTTTCCTCTGGAATTTGACAACAGCTTCACATTCACATGGATCTTCCTCTGAAGAGACAAGACAAAACGGTTCAGTAAATAAAATATCGGAAGAAGGTCTTGAGTATTATGAAATGATGGAAGCTTATAAAACATATTTTGTCTAATCCACAGACAGGCAACCTGTGATTGTAGATTGCAAACATTTTCAGAGCACTCTATTTTCGGTCCTGAGATTGCAACGTTGCATCATTGAAATTCAGCAATAACTAATTCTCAGCAGCACCATTTGTGTGTTTTATTTCTTCAAAAGTCAAGTGCAATACGACCAAGAAGCCTATTCAAACCAATTTTCTTTCAAAGAGCCCCAAATTGTACTGCTGAAATTCTGTCATTTGAAAACTGAATTTCTGAAGAACAATTTTGGATCATTTGGAAGAAATGTTGATGTGTGTGTGTTTAAGAATGGAAAGAGAAACAATTTGACTTCCAGAGATTTCTCGTACTGACTTCTACCCCTAACTCCTTTTTAAAACAATGAAAAGTATGAAGGGCTACGGGTGACATGATAGCAGTGATAGCAATATTTGAGGGGTTGCCACAAAGAGTAGTGGGTCAACCTATTCTCCAAAACACCTGAAAGCAGGACAAGAAGCAATGGATGGAAACTAATCAAGGAGAAATCCTACTAAGGAGAGATTTCCTGACAGTTAGGACAATTAATCAGTGGAACAACTTGCCTCCAGAAGTTGTAGGTGCTCCATCACTAGAAGCTTTTAAAAGAGACTGGACAGCCATTTGTCTGAAATGGTATAGGATCTCCTGCTTGAGCGGGGGGGAGGGTGGACTAGATGACCTTCAAAGTCCCTTCCAACTCTGTCACTCTGATAGTTTGTTAATAGTTCACAACTCCTTTCTTTGACACATTGATTCATCTGGTATCTTTACCGGTGGATCTGCAATGGGTTGAGAAAGCCAATTGCAGCCCTCACTTTTGGAAATGTTTTTGCCATGTTCGAGTCCCTACTTAGATAAAAACCCCAAAACATTATTTCGCAGAAAGAGACTGATTGTAAGCATTGGGTATATTCTAACTCAAGATGCATGAACAGGCTAAAATGCTTGCTGCGAAAATGAATTGAGCTCTTTGAGCATTCAACTGATTGGCTGGACCATCCTCAAGGAGGTTAATGGAGCATTTCAAATAATAGCTTTCAAGTAACTCTTGAAGGGATTGATTCTTTCTACCATCTGTTCAGGGTCAGACTGAAGCACTTTGAAATGTGAGACACAACAAGGGATGTGAGACTCTCCACCAACATCACTTTCATGGAGAAGTTCACCGGTTGAGCAATTTAATCTTACTTCAACATTGATCATGACAATGTTCTCTGCCTTCCTTGAGGGGAAACAGGTTTGAAAAATAATAGACAAGACTGTATGACATGAGTTGCTATGTCCTCTAACAGGTTGTCTTCCCTTTGCTGGAAATCAGTGCTTAATTTTACATAATGGTAAAGCCAGTTTTGTGTCTGCTTGACAGTCATCAGCTTTAAGAAACTCACCTTGATGGAAGAATGGGATGATAAGCAGCGAAGACTGCTTCCTCAAATAGAGATAAAGCTGGTGGTGGGATTCAAATAAATTAACAACCGGTTCTCTGTCCTAATGATGGGGTGGGTGGGTGGGCGTGGCCATGGTGGGCATGGCCAGGGGGTGTGACAGGCAGCAGTTGGCCTCCTGCACTCCCCTGGGAGCAAAAATAGGCTGTGGGGGGCACCTCACCCTCGCATTCCATTTGGGGCCTGGTAGGCCTCCCTCCATCCGCCTGGGAGCAAAAACGGGCCACAGGGGATGCCCCCCCCACACCCTGTTTTGGGCCTAGTAGGCCTCCCTGCAGCCTCTTGGGAGCAAAAACAGGCTATGGAGGGCCCGTTTTCCACCTCCCTGGGCTCCATGCGCCCCCTGCATTTACCTGGGATCCAAAATGGGCCACGTGAGGACTCCTGGGAGGGGCAGGGTGGGGTGGGGTCATCCGGTCACTGGAACTACCAGTTCACCGAACCAGACATAAAATTAACATCTGTTTCATGTGAATCAGTCCGAACCGGCTGAATCCCCCCTCTGGATAAAGCCTCTGGGTTTCTAACTCCTTCCCCCCAATTGTTGATAGAGTAAAGGCATTGGCAGCAGTTCTCCCATGCAGGCACCATGAGAGATTGTACACATATGTTACTCAGTGGGATATGGTGCTACTAGTCCATTGAGGGTTATATAATTGTGGAACCAGCACGAAGCCTCTGCTCTGAAGGTCTTAATCCCCAAAGAGTGAGGGTGATAACAATACAATAAACATAATGTGAACCACTTTGAAATGGGTATCCCACAATGAAGGCCTACCTGTCAGGCCAAGAAGCCATCTTTTGCCTTGGGCCTCCAAGCCTGCCACATTTACTACTGTGGGAAATTGGGACGGGGGATTGTATGGAGCATGGGTGATATATAGCCATAATAAAATTCCTTTGTCAGGGAATCAAATACATCTTGCCCTGCACCTGGAGGGTTGGAACTGGGAGGCATCTCCAGTTGGGATGGTGCTTTGATGGGACCATGTGATGGATATGTGGGTGCTGGGCAGGGATTTGAAGTTTTCTTTGGGTGGGGAAAACCTGGAAACTTTCAAATTTGGGTTTTCCCAGATGTGCCAATATGACATCTTTAATAAAATGGAACTTTGAGGAACTTCAAGCCTCGGAGTCTTCTTTTGTTGGGGGGGTTACTTGGAAGCCTGATATTATCATTAAGAAACACTCTTTGGGATCCGTAGCTGGGGCAGAACAGCTGTGCCTTAGAAACTGTTTTTTTATCCCAAGCAGAGGATAAAAAACCAGCAAACTAATGTGCTGAAACTGACCAGACTAAGGACGCTAGCCAGATGAATACCTGGCAGGCAGATTTTTTTTCCCCTATTTTCCTCCCCAAAAACTAAGCTGCGTCTTACACTCCAGTGCGTCTTAAATTCCGAAAAATACAGTAAGTGGAATCTGCAACTAGTCACAAGTATCGCACTATTAATATCCTATGCACAACTTCACCTACCAACACATATTTTAGTCTGCAGCTTCTTTCCAATTTGATTGATGGTTCGGAAATCAGCTGTGTAGAAGTAGTGCTCTGCCACCGGTTCAGAGGCAATTGCCTTGAGTTCATCTTCAATGGCATTGCCCACCCCAATCGCAAACATCTTGTACCCTGAAACAAACAAGATCTAATCATTTGCGTCTTGCCCTGTTCATGAAAGCACAATAAAAGCATTATTGATCAAAAGGCATTGCGCCGGTGTGTATGTAAAGATTGTTTTTTTATTTTAAAAAAAGAAAAGCCTGGAAAACATGGAGGCATTATAAATGAAAAGCTTTCATCTGGTCTGTTCCTCTCCAGGGGCCATCACCTTATCTTCTGACAATGATGTTCAGGTATTGCATCAGGCAAATGACTTTGTTATGTCTCTCCTGGCTTTGTCAAGTTCACATCTAGCTTTGTAAACATTATGAAATCATAGTTGCATGAGTTGGATGCAACAGGAAAGAGAGGGTTGATCAACCCCAGAAGAGAAAAAGGGAATGTACTACTGTAGAAATATAATCCTCATTGATATAATAAAGGTAAAGGTTCCCCTTGCACATATGTGTTAGTCGTTCCCAACTCCAGGAGGCAGTGCTCATCTCCGTTTCAAAGCCGAAGAGCCAGTGCTATCCGAAGACGTCTCCGTGGTCATGTGGCCAGCATAACTAAGCACCAAAGGCGCACAGAACGCTGTTACCTTCCCACCAAAGGTGGTCCCTATTTTTCTACTTGCATTTTTTACGTGCCTTCGAACTGCTAGGTTGGCAGAAGCTGGGACAAGTAACGGGAGCTCACCCCATTATGCAGCATTAGGGATTCGAACAGCTGAACTGTCGAACTTCTAATCGAGAAGCTCAGTGTCTTAGCCACTGAGCCACCCTGTCCCCCTATTGATATAATACAATGGACCAATAAAGGAGAATATTTGTAGCTCAGGGTTGAAATGAGGGGTTCTTGGTGCTCTCTGAGCTTGGTTGTTTCCTTGCAAACGTTTCATTACCCAAGCTAGGGAACTTCATCAGTGTCACAAACAACCAAGCTCAGAGAGCACCAAGGACCCCCTCATAGCACAATGTTATCGATTTATGAGATTCAGTAGTCAACTTAACTGAGCCAGTGGTGGGATTCAAATAATTTAACAACAGGTCGTCTGCCCTAGTGACCAGCTGGGTAGGTGTGGCTCGGTGGTCATATGACCGTGTGGGCATGCCCAACTCAACGTCACTCACGGCGATGGGTGCTTCGCCTTAGCTATTACAATGTAATAAAGGTTAACCAGAGAGGCAGTTTCTGTAAGCAGGGCAATAAAAATTAGGCTAGAAACATTACCAGAATGTTTCCTTCCTGCCTTCCTTACAGGATTAGCCCTGTAAAGTGGGAAAAAAACAAAATAAGATTTCTTCCAACAACCGATTCTCCGAACTGCTTAGAAAGTTAACAACCGGTTCTCCCAAATAAGTGCGAACTGGCTAAATCTCACCACTGAACTGAGCTCTCATCAAACTGCTGTCCTAATTTCCAAATGCTTACCTAGTTCTTTAGCTTTCTTGGCTGCATCATTGATGTAATCTTGGGAACGTCCATCAGTAAATACAATGGCCACCTTGGGGACACCAGGCCTTGCTCCACTAGAGATGGCGAAGGAATTGTCTACGAGGTATTTCAAAGCCTGGCCAGTCATGGTGCCCTTTTCCATATATGTCATCTTTCTCACTGCTGTTTTGATATCCTTCTTGTTCTTGTATTGCCCCAGGGGGAACTCCTGCTTGACTGAACTAGAGTACTGGACCAGGCCCACCTGAGTGGTTTTATCTGACACCTCCAGAGAATCCACAATCTGGTTAATGAATCTCTTCACCAACTCGAAGTTCTCGGGCCTCACGCTCTTCGACCCGTCTATCAGAAAGATGAGATCTGTGGCAGCTCCTCCATTGCAAACTGTAGGAAAGTGGAAAAGCAGAAAACGGGAAGAAAGCCACTACTGGGGGGGGGGAGAGAGAATCACTTCTTCCATTTAGATAGCAACACTTCTTTAAAAACTGATTTTAATAAGCATTTTGAGCCAGATCAGTGTGCTTAGAGTGGTGTGTCCTCACTACAAGAAGTAAAATAAGTAAAAGAGCCTTGGTAGTACAGTGGTCTAAAGCACCCTGTTATTAAGACCAGCTGCCTGCAATTACTGCAGGTTCGAATCTCGCCAGGCTCAAGGTTGACTCAGCCTTCCATCCTTTCTAAGGTAGGTAAATTGAGGACCCAGTTGTGGGGGCAATAAGCTGACTTTGTATAAATATACAAAAGGATGAAGGCTATTGCTGAGCACATTGTAAGCCGCCCTGAGTCTCCGGAGAAGGGCGGCATATAAATCAAATTTAAAAAAATAAATTAAAATTACAATTAAAAAAAAATAAGTCGTTATGTTTAAGCACTATAATTTCTGCTTCGCCTCACTATTTTCAAGAACGGGTTATTCTACTATACACCATAGTCAGTGGTGGGTTGCCCCGGTTCGGACCGATTCTATAGAACCGGTAGTAAAACCAGTGGGAGGCTCCGCCCACTGACCCTGATGTCATTAGAAGCAATCTGCACATGCACAGAAGCAAGGAGCATGCGCGAGTGAATCGAGCACGTGCGCGTGATCCCGTTGCGAACCGGTAGTAAAGGTAAGTAGAACCCACCCCTGACCATAGAATACAGTAATAAACTACTGAACTATACACTAGACCAGTGGCTCCCAACCTTCTGGACACCAGGGACTGGTTCCATGGAGAGATGTTTTTTCTGGGGACCACAGGGGGCATAGTTTCATGTACTGCCTGCGGATGGGTCTTTGCTTATTTGTGAGACACGGTGGCGCAGTGGTTAGAGTGCAGAACTGCAGGCTGCTTCTGCTGATCACCGGCTGCCTGCAATTTGGCAGTTCAAATCTCATCAGCCTCAAGGTTGACTCAGCCTTCTCTCCTTCCGAGGTGGGTAAAATGAGGACCCAGGTTGTTGGGAGCAATAGGCTGACTCTGTAAACAGTTTAGAGAGGGCTGTAAGCAGTGGTGGGTTGCCCCCGGTTCAGACCGATTCGCAAGAACCGGTAGTAAAACTGGTGGGAGGCCCCGCCCACTGCCCCGGATGTCATCATTGGCGATCTGTGCATGTGATCCCGTTGTGAACCAGTAGTAAATGTAAGTAGAACCCACCCCTGCTGTAAAGCACTGTAAAGTGGTATATAAGTCTAAGTGCTATTGTGCGAACCAATTTCTGGCATGCCATGGACCAGTGACAGTTCACGGACTGGGGTTGGGGACCCCTCCACTAGACAAGAGGAAGTCAGAAGCTAAGATTCATGTCTGAAAGCATTTTTCTTTGTTCTCTTTGGCTGTTTTACAGAATGGTAGTTTATCCTCAAAAGAATGAGGTATTTCACACATTGTGAATTGGGCACGCCTTTCCATGACTTCGAATCAACTTTGGTTCCCTATACAAAGTTTTGAATTATGATCTATTTACCACTGCAGGTCTTCCCATCATTGTTAAGAGTGAAACCCACTTCACAAGCACAGGCGTACGAGGCTCCTGTACTGACACAAATCTGCTGGCAATCATGGTCTCCGGTGGCACACAAATCTGACACAACTGTAAAGTAATAAAATAATAAACACAGTAAACAAGCAGGTTTGACTTTAGCTTGCAGTATCATTCTTCTTTTTCAGTTTAACGTTTTTATTGAGCTATAAGATAAAATAAGACACAAAATACAAAAGTAAATAGGAAAACGGTGGGGAGGAAGAGGGGGAAGAGAAGTGAGGAAGGATAAGAAAAAAAGAAAAAGAAACATTGACTTCTGACTCTCTGTTGCAGTAAAATATGGCATTAACTTCAAATCACAACTTTTTGTTTTTTCATAATAATATGAACAAGCCATTTCTATCTATCAATCTAATCGGTAAAACCCAAAATCAAAGTTTCATTCTTTTCCACTTCAAGCACAAAGCTGAGAAGAGGTCTCCATGTGGAAACAAAAGCACTTATATTCTTTTCTTTTAGCAAAATGTTTTGACTCCAGTATCATTTGTCTTGAGTAGATCACCTAGAAGACAGGTGTCAAACTTGTGGCGTCACTTTGCCATCACATGATGTATCACAACCTTTTTCCCTTTGTGGAGCTGGGGTGGGTGTGGCCTACGCATGATGCATCCAGCCCACGATCTACCAGTTTGACACCCCTGAGTGCTAGAAACTTTAGCAATTCCAATCTCCAGGAATCAACATCTGACCTTATAAACCATCTGAATGTTCTTTTCTTCATAAGCCTTTTAACCAGGATCACTACTTAACAGCCCAGGAGCCATATGCATCCTTAGAAACTCCTGAACAAAGAAGGTGCATCAGCCACCAAGCCACGTCCACTAAGCCATGCCATGCCCACCAAGCCACACCCACAGAACCAGTAGTAAAAAAATTTGAAACCAACCACTGAATCAGATGCTTATTTTTAACAATGAAATACACAGGAAGATCTTGTAGTTGGGAAAGGACCATTTCTCGTAGGTGTTTCCTTCAGGAAAATTTCAGACTTACCGCAGAAAGCTTCCTGAAACTTTCTGCTTAGCTTCTCAATGACACTATAACTTTCAACATAATCCACATGGTCATCCAAGGGCTGGCTGGCTATCTGTCGCAACGTGTGCATGTCGACGCGGCCCACACCAATGGCAAAGATTTCAATCCCAAGAGCTCTTGCCCTTGCTGATACGTCTTTCACCCCATCCTGGGGGTGACCATCAGTCACTACGATAGCCACCTGGGAATGAGAAAATGAAGGCTTCATTGGTTTTTTTTTCCAACTGGGCCCAGCAACAGTTGGGATGGATGATGATGTTTATCTTCCTCTGATAGTGTTTATCATACCAAGTGAGATTAATAACTCATGTTCAGCTAGCTCAACCACAAATAGAAACAAAGGATCCTATTCCCTAGATATTGTAGTAATCTCTCGCTCCTTTATTAAAAGGCTCTTTGGTGCAAGGAACGGTCCCCAGAGTACATCATAAAAAGAGAAAGTGTATCTGGGCCTTAAAAGTGATGAGCAATAATACAAAGCAGTGTTGCATGATTGCCAGGAGGGAGAACCATATATTTGAATGGAAAGAAAGAAAGAAAGAAAGAAAGAAAGAAAGAAAGAAAGAAAGAAAGAAAGAAAGAAAGAAAGAAAGAAAGAAAGAAGGAGGAGGAGGGAGGGAGGGAGGGAGGGAGGGAGGGAAGGAAGGAAGGAAGGAAAGAAAGAAAAAAGAAAGAGAAAAAGAAAAAGAAAGAAAGAAAGAAAGAAAGAAAGAAAGAAAGAAAGAAAGAAAGAAAGAAAGAAAGAAAGAAAGAAAGATGGAAGTGTAACAGAGTAGTTCTTTGACTCTTATTTTCTCTCTCTCTCTAAAAGACTCATAATTGAATTTTTCTGGTCAGAATCAGGTACAATTATTCCTCATCTTAAAATTACTTTCTGTCTGTTCTCTCCAGTTCTTTAAACATTTTCATTTTCAGCTGGATAAATTTCATCTAGATATCTGAATCCCCAAATGAAGGACTGTTTCCTAATATTTCACAGCAAAAAAACAACAAAAACAAATTATCCTCTCATATAGATACAAATGCCTGCAAAAAGTGAGGGATTAAGATGCTGGCTGCAAAACTCCACCCCTGTTTAATGTGATTCATAAAAAGGAGTAGAGCATCAATCATGCTGTTGACACACCCTCGACAGATGTCCCCTTATATAAACATTTGTCATGTGACTCTAAAAGGCCATAGGCAGACCTGATACCCCCCATTCAGCTTACTCTATGCCTCTTCTCCAAATTTTCAAGTATCTTCTCTTCATAGGGTTGCAACCTGTTGAACCCTCATTATGTTCAGAGTTAAATGCAGCTACATCTGTTCAAATTGCTGGACATCCGCCTGGCTAAATTAGGTGAATAAAAGGTGAAGTATTGTAATCATTAAATCAACTGAAGAACAACAAGAGGGGGAGAAAGAGATCTGAAAGGGGAGAGATCCAAATTTCTTCTATTGCATGCAAGTGCTTGGCTAGAATAGAATAGAATAGAATAGAATAGAATAGAATAGAATAGAATAGAATAGAATAGAATAGAATAGAATAGAATAGAATAGAATAAACAGACTTGGAAGGGACCTTGGGGGTCTTCTAGTCCAAACCCCTGCTTAGGCTGGAAACCCTATACCATTGTAGACAAATGGTTATCCAATCTCTTCTTTAAAACTTCCAGTGTTGGAGCATCTACAACTTCTGGAGGCAAGTTGTTCCACTGATTAATTGTTCTAACTGTCAGGAAATTTTTCCTTAGTTCTAAGTTGCTTCTCTCCTTGATTAGTTTCCACTCATTGCTTCTTGTCCTTGCGAGATTCTGTTAATATAACCTTACAATAGAGTTAGTATTCCTGGTTATGCTTCTTGTCCAGATTACCCTGAAGGGGTAAGGTGTCCTGCCCTCAAGGTGCTTTGCAGAATAGCTTGACTCCAGGGGTAGTATTCACTTACCTTCCCTACTGGTTGACAAATGTGACCAACTCTGTGTATGCGCACTCCCTTCCATGCATGTACACAGCCTCAAAAACGTGCCTAAAAAGCACGTCCTAGAACCAGGGCGGGTGGGTGGAGCCACCCATAATTTCTGCTACCAGTTTGGGCGATCCGGACAGAACCGGCTAAATACCACCTCTGCTTGACTCCCTCTTCTTTGTGGCAGCCCCTGAGATATTGGAAGACTGCTATCATGTCTCCCCTAGTCCTCCTTTTCATTAAATTAGACATACCCAGTTCCTGCAACAGTTCTTCATATGTTTTAGCCTCCAGTCCCCTAATCATCTTTCTTGCTCTTCTCTACACTCTTTCTAGACTGCCCCATTCAGTTTCATGGTATCATTTGCTTTGAAGATACCTTCATTGCTTCTGCTGTAGAAGTGTCAGATCATACAATGCACCTGATTCATAGGCTCAGTTACATCCAGGGCTTTTCTCAAGAGCTCAGTGGCAAAAATGCAAGAGCAGCAGCATGAACGATTTTGAAAGTAGGGCACCGGCCAGCGTATTTTTGAATCACATTCAGCTGCTGAAGAAATGAGGCTAGCAAGGAATATCACTTGCAAAGGACACGGATCTCATTGTTAGCCCTTCAGGGTAATCTGGACAAGAAGCATAACCAGGAATACTAACTCTATTGCAAGGTTATATTAACAGAATCTCGCAAGACTGAAAACATTACCAATAAAGGGGAATATTTGTAGCTCAGGGTTGAAATGTGGGGTCCTTGGTGCTCTCTGAGCGAGCTTGTTTAAACTAGCAGGGGTGAAATTTGACCGGTTTGGACTGGTTCAGATGAGCCGGTTGGGACGATTTGAATTGGTTAGCTGAACCAGTACAAACCACCCCTGGTTGGCCCCTCCCATGCCTGCCCAGTCGCCCAGTCGCCACTCACCCCTTCCCGCCACTCGACCCATTCAGCGTTAAGTATAAGTATAAGTATAATTTTATTTCTATACCGCCCTTCTCCCGAAGGACTCAGGGCGGTGCACAGTCTATTTAAAAACACAAGACAAACATCAATTAAAAATTTTAAATTATTAAATAAATTCGGTTCAATTTAAAACCCCAGAAATTTAAAATACCCCAATTTAAAATTATTATGTTGATAGCCCAGCCTGGCGGAACAACAGGGTCTTCAGTGCGCAGCGGAACACCCGGAGGTCGGAGATCTTACGTATTTCCGGGGGCAGTTCATTCCACAGGGCTGGGGCTCCCACAGAGAAGGCCCTCCCCCTGGGTGTCGCCAGCCAACATAACTTGGCTGATGGCACCCTGAGGAGACCCTCTCTGTGGGAGCGAACTGGCCGGTGGGAGGCTATTGGTGGCAGAAGTCGGTCTCGAAGGTACCCAGGTCCTATGCCATAGAGCGCTTTAAAGGTGGTGACCAACGCATGCGCAGATCAATGTTAAATGCTGCAGCAGACAGAATCCAAACTTTTCTCCCTCCATTCACAGTGTAACTGCTGCAGCTTGTCCCTTTAAGGTACTTCGATGCCTGGGAGGGAGGGGGCCAGAAGGGGACCATAAAAGGATCAGCAGCTCTGCTGTGAATGAAGGGAGAAAAGTTCGGATTCTCTCTGCTGCAGCATTCTCTATGAGCCCTTCTGGTGCTCATACGCACGTTTTTTCCTACCGGGTTCTGTGGGTGTGGCTCGGTGGGGGGTGTCATATGACTGAGTGGGCGTGGCTATGAGTGACATTGAGTTGACCATGCCCACTCAGTCACAGGACCCACCACCACCACCAAGCCATGCCCACAGAACCAGTAGGTTCTTTGGTTGGGCTGTTTAAGGAAAGCTCTTTGGCAGTTTCTTGATTGGGATATTGCTTATTTGATTGTTGGTCTGAAGTCAACCTTGTAGTTAATCTATGCTGATCTCAGCGCTGATTACTGGTGGAGAGGTGCTGGAGTCTTTTTTTCTCTTTGAGGCTGGTTGATTATCTCTTTTGCATAGTCTATAGATGTTGTTAATAGCTATGTGTCTATGGATTTGTCAGAGTGCCAAGCTTCTAGAAACATTTCTACTGAACATTAACTGAAAACATTTCTCCCTTGTTTCAAAGGTGCTTTTTTCAAAAGGCAACTGGACTATGTTGTTGTTTTTTTTCTGGAGGAAGAAATGTTTTCTCTTTGAAGGAGATGTTTGCTTCTCATCTAAGAAGCTGATGAAGGTCAGAACTGATGAAGCTTCTTGAATAAGAAGTGATATGTCCTCTACTTTAGAAGACATTTCTTCCAAAAAAAATAACAACATAGCCCAATTGCCTTTTGAAAAAGCACCTTTGACCTGGATTAGGGGTAGGTTCTACTTACCTTTACTACCAATTTGCATCGCGCCTGCATGTGCATGCTTTTCTGCGCATGCGCAGATCACCTATGATAACATCCGGATCAGTGGGCGGAGCCTCCCGCTGGTTTTACTACCGGTTCTTGCGAACCGGTCCGAACCAGGGGCAACCCACCACTGACCTGGATGTTTGAGAATCTCCCTAGACATTTCTCTCCTTCTTTCCTTTTACTTTCTGGAAACTGGGGAGGGTCCTTTCTGAAATGCATCCCACACCTGTTCTCCTTCTGTAGGCTGAGAAATCTTTTACATACCCTCCGAGGTTCTTCCTCCCGTTAGCCAAGGTCCTTCCCACATACCATTACATTAATTCTTTCTGTCTAATGTTATCTTTTAAAGCCCACCCAGACTCCTTTTAAGTTCATTGTGCATTGGTGTCAATAAGTTGAGTTTCTTGAAATAAATAAAGAAATTGAGAAATAAAAGGTCCACATAGAACTGGGTCTTAACTGGATTGGTATGCAAATACCATTTAGACATTTGGTGTGTTCCAAATGGTGTAACATGCCAATCTCAGCAATAGGTGGAGCTGTAAAATCTCTTATACCTCCCTCTTGCTTTAAGAAATCAAGACTGTGTGGTATATTTGCAATCTCGTAGCTTCACTAACAAACCTTTTGTGCCTTCAGTGATTCATTTATATAGTCCAAGTGTTGCAGAGAAAGAAATCTCCCTAGGAAGCACCTTCCACTGGTGTGAATCAGCAGGAGATCAAAGAAGTGTGAATAGATTTCTTGGTCATGTCATATGTTGAGAAAAACAAGTGAAAATTCCTAACCATCTTTTTTTTTTTTAATAAAAAAAAATGTAAGAAGATTCTGAATCAGCCTAACCTGGACTGCCAAAGCAGACGATCAGTTTTTGAGTTTCATTCTAAACAGACCAGAATTTCTGAACCTTGATCCCAAATGAAAAGAATGACTTCATTAGGAATTAGAGATTTAAACACTAGAACCTAAATAAACTGTGATTATCCAAGCAGAAGAAAAGAGAGTGTCCCAGATAAATAAATATTTAGTCTTGATCCCCACACATAGAATGAAGACAGATGGGACCTGCGATAATCAGCTTCCATCTTTAGGCATTCCTAGTCAAACACTATAAAAAGACTTCACACATACAACTTTATGTACAAACGTTTCTTACAAGTGTTGAATGAACATCTGTAGTCATGAATCAGAGCATGACATCCAGTTCCCCATGTACATTGACTTGACATGAATCAATATTTGGAAACAGAAAGCGTAGATCATGTTGCACAAACCGTTCTTATATGAGGAAGAAGAGAATAAGCAGAACTGCTCTTTTCAGCTTGTGAAAGAAATTGAACCTCGGTTTGGTTTCAAAACAATGAGAGACTAACTAAATTGTGGTCTACCATTTCTGTACTTAAGGCCAAAGGACTTCATGATCCATAAAGTTCTTTTAATGAAGTTGAAAAGGCCTTCCATTTGAGGTAATTTTTTTCCCTGCACCAGAAATAGTCATAACAACAAAAACAATATCAATAACAGGTACCTTTGTGAAAATGTTAAGGACTTGAAAGGAACCTTTAATTTAGTATTTCAAGCTCTTTCCCACAAGAGAGATTTTTTTCTCTCATTGACCTATGGCTCTCCCCAAAGAATACCTGCATATATATTTTTAGTATATATTTAGCTTCTAGCCCACCTGCGAGTGAAATTCAAGGTGGTGAAGTCAACTACATTTAGCTAATTTTACATCCTTCCAAGAATAAAATGCTCATAGAAAAGGGCATTTATGCCTAAAAAAAACCTAAATGCTCCGAAGGGCTCCTCACTTTCATCCAACTTTGTTCTTCAAAGAACCACATTTTTATAGCCTATTTTAACAAGTAGAGCATCATGGCTTGATAAATTTGTTGATCCCATTCAGGGGTGGGTTCTAAATTTTTTTACTACCGGTTCTGTGGGCGTGGCTTATTTTGTGGACGTGGTTTGATGGTCATGTGACAATTCTTTAGGATTTAGCAGAGGTACTGGTCTACTGGGCTTTTAACTGTTTGCAGAGCTATACTGGTCTACTCATTTGTTTTTGGAGGCACCGGTCTACCACCACACTGCCTTTTAACATTGATCAGCTGTAGCCCCACGGCAAGAGTTCAAACAGTTTTTTCCCTTCTAGCTGATCAGCTGGGACTCGGGAGGCAGCGAATAGATTGGGGGTGAGGCCAAATAAAAGATAAGAATAATGCGGGGGGAAGCGGGGGGCAGGGGGTAGAACCGGTTCGGTGACATCATATTGTCACCGCTACCGGCTCGGCAGAACTGGGCCAAACCAGGAAGAACCCACCACTGATCCCATCCCACAAAGCTGAGGTGTACCAATTCTCCAAACTGTAGGCTTTATGGCTTTGTGACTAGTTCTACGAGGTCAGGGAATCCGAAGTGGTGCCTCACAAAACAACCAAGACAAGCGGGAAGGAACTTATGGAAGAAGGAAATCTTCATTCCTCCTGAAGGACTTTGTGAGGAAACATTTCATCAAAAGGTTGTTACCCTGAGTTGTGACTAAGCGTCAGTTAGGTAACTGAGAAGCAGGAGAGCAGTTGGGGAAAGAGAAGGATGTTATGAAATTAAACATGACAAATAAAAAGGATGAAAGCATTTGTTCAAGGATAAACGTGTATTCCTCTTGGGTGTTAGTGATCAACTGCAGGTCTGCAGGCCTCAAATGACCTTCCGGGGCTTGTTAGATATGGTGTACATAAAGCTGGGAACTCTACCCATTTCTCTGCGTAAGCAGGGGGTTGGACTAGAAGACCTCCAAGGTCCCTTCCAACTCTGTTGTTCTATTCTGTTCCTAGTAGCTAATAACAGTGGGAAAGCAAATATCTCATTAACTTGCTGAGAGGAGGTGAGGCCCCTAGGATGGGAGAAACCACAGTTAGTTGCCGTGAGACATGTCAGGAGCATTAAGTTAACACACTTTCCATTTGCCCTGCAGTTAAATGGTTCAAATCTTATATGACAACATGAGATATTATTATGATTCTTTGCGCAGTCAGTCAGATGTTGAAACTGGATTTGGCCTTTTTGTTCGCCTATTGAGTCCTTCCCAAGGACCTGGGATAGGCAGAAGTGGATATTTAATGGTGTTCCAGAAATCGTCACAGGATGTAAACTCTTCTGAGTGAAGCTGCCTTTTGCAATTGACTGATGGTGGATTTGTCGATGCCAATGGTGTTCAAGTGGTGCTATTCGAACTATTAGATTTCCAACAATTATGCCAAATCTCATTAGATTTTTTTTAAAAAAAAATCATCTAAGCAGCCATAAAATGCACCCACCGAACTCTGAGGACCACCAGTGCTCCTGAAAACACAGGTTGCAAACAAAAGAGACGGGGAGAACTAAGTTCATGGAATGATTGCCACAAAACAAAGCAAGAAGAAAATAAAATAAAGCTTCTTGACAATCTCACCTTGTTGATCTCTGGGGATCTCACTCTGGCTCCTTCCCCTTCACTGAATGCTCTGTTGATGGCAAATTGTATAGCCAGGCCGGTCATGGTCCCAGTGGAGAGAGGCTCAATTTTGCGAACCGCTTGTAACAGGCTGGTCTTTGTTTGATGCGTTCTTAGGGACAGTTCATTCTTGACAGCACTGGCATAGTTGATGACTCCAACCCGTGTTGTATTAGGACCTACATCAAGGGCCTCAATGACCTGAGACACAAAAATCTTGACTTTGTCAAATTCATTGGGGCGCACACTTCGGGAGCTGTCCACAATGAACACCAGATCTGTAGGCCTTGTCCTGCACTGGGCACCTATTTGAGAGAAGGGAACAGCTTTTTCTTTTCAAAAATTAGAAATGTGACAACTCAGAAATAGGTCCCACTGAATTCATTTGGATTTCCTCTCAACTAGATGGAGATAGAATTCCAACCTTATGATCATTTCAAAGGTGCTTTTTCCAAAAGGCAACTAGACTTCCTTGGGTTTTATTTTTCCTTTGAAAATGTTTTGCTTCTCAACCAAGAAGTTTCTTCACTCCTTCAGAAACACTTTCAAAGGGAAAAACAAAACAAGAATGGCCATTTGCCTTTTGGAAAAGCACCTTTAGGACAACCATGACCTGGATGATTGAGAATTTCCATAGACATTCATCCTCATGATTTTTTCCAATATGAAAATGACACAATTTCTTCCAATGATTGCTCCTTCTATGCTACAATCTTATGACTTCTAGTGTAGACGATTCCATATGTTGCATTTTCCCCTGTGAAGTTAGTACTGGAATTTTCTTGGAGAGACAAATCCCAGCACTTGTTTCTCCTCCTCGTTCCTCATCAGTCTCTATTGCTGACGTCGGTCAATTGTGGGAAATTCAGACACTGGAATAATTTAAAATGTGGCATGAGAATTCGGAGCTGTTCAGAGGTGGGTGTCACACACTGTAACAACTGGTTCGCCCAGCACCGTAAATGTAAGTGCGCGCCATCCACACATGCGTGCAGCATCACAAAACACGGCAATTCTCTCGCATGTGCCATCCGTGCATGTGTGCTGTGTCAATAAACATGTCAATTCACTCGCACGTTCCTTCTGTGCATGCGTGCGGCATCAAATACACAGCAATATAGGACGGGATTGTGCCCGGGCAAGTGGGTGGGGCCACCCACAGGTCGCAACTACCGGTTCGCCTGAACCAGTTCGAACCGTCAACGGCCCACCACTGGAGCTGTTGTCAGAACAGGAAGTGGTTTTATCCCAAACTATCCAAGATTCTCACCATACCCTAAATAGGGAAGATATATATATAAACCCTCAACCAGACTTAATTCCCCCTTCCCATTTTTTTACTGCTGGTCTATTGGCATCAGACTTATAGTATGTCAGATGACGCCAATAACTATGTGTTTTTCTTTAGGACTATATTCCCTCCAAAACAACAAAACCACTGAGGTATATATTTCAATCCTCTTTGACTATTCAGTGTTTAACACACTCACTAATGTTATACATAAATTTTTGTCCAAATCTGAGGGTGGGTTGAAGGTTTTTTTGACTTAACTGGGAGCATTTCACTCTAATAGGACTTGAAATGTTAAATGAGATTACTTTTCTGGGATTTACATTAACGATGGAGGCTCTGCCTTTGTTCTGATTTGCCTTCAGGTCTGATCTGCAGTCATTATAATAAAACCAAAAGGAAATTAATGGCATCATTTTTGTCCTGACATTGGTGGCTTGCAGAGAAAAAGAAAAAAACAAGATTGTATTTTTGCCTCTTTCACACCATTCTCCAAAAATTCCAGAAATCTACACCCAGCAGCCTGAACAGTCAATGATGGGCCAGTGGGTGGGGGCTATTTTGGCCCAGTGATTGCTTATTTATCTATCTATCTATCCAGTGGTGGGATTCAAATAATTTAACAACCAGTTCTCTGCCCTAATGATTTCTTCCAGCAACCAGTTCACCAAACTGCTCAGAAAGTTAACAACTGGTTCTCCCGGAGGGGTGCGAACTGGCTGAATCCCACCACTGTATCTATCTATCAAATTTATAGAGCCACCCACTTCACAAGGAATGAGCCTTTACAAAAACCATACAGCAAAAAGATGTATAAAAATTAATATCTCAAATGCAGTTCTATTACATAAATCATACACACACATTGTATATACAGTATGCATGTGTGTGTGTGTGTGTGTGTGTGTGTATGTGTGTGTGTATCAAGAGAGAAATTATATTAAATCCTCTTGCAAACCAGAGGAAATGTTGAAATATTGGACAAATCCATCATGTCTTTACATTGCAGTAAAATATGTTTACTACCCATCACACGTATTTGCTCCATTCTGTGATTCCCTAGAGATTGTAAGCAAATACAGTAACTGCCTGAAATCTTCTGCCAAAGCAGTGTTGGTAGAATAGCTAACTTCAAGGTCAAAAGAAAATTTGATCTTAAGAAGCAAGAAAAGTGTGAGAGTCAAAGTAATTCCATTACGTCTTCTGAAAAACCGTCTCCCTTTGCTTTTCCTCCAACTGTCACTGAACTGACTGCTGTTTTCGGTTCAGCAAGACAAAATAAAAACTATAATTTTAACCGTCAGTGTCTGAATTTTGCCTTGTTTCTTCTTTTTTTTCTGTCTCTGTTTCTTGTGGATCCAGAATTTGAGATTGCAAGCTCAAGAGCTGGAAAATATTCAGGGCTGTAACTGATGGATACAATAAGCCTGAAAACATGCCAGAAAGAGGGTCGAGAGAGAAATAACGGCTGTGCCTAATAGCCATTGATAGATCTTTTAGATTATGACTTTCTTCTGCATTGGTAGAAAAGAAAACTAAAAAATGCATCAGTATGTAAATAAATACTTTTATGCATTGTTTGCATATACACTGAGGCTTATCACTTTCTTGTTTGCATGTACACTGAGAGCTTATGCACCAGTGATAAATTCCTTGTATATCTAATCACACTCGGCCAATAAGGAATTCTAGTCTAGTCCATCCCATCCCATCCCATCCCATTATTTCTATTCTATTCTATTCTATTCTATTCTATTCTATTCTATTCTATTCCATTCCATTCCATTCCATTCTATTCCATTCCATTCCATTCCGTCCCATCCCATCCTATTAGTTACATTCTATTCCATTCCATCCATCCTATCCCAACCCATCCCATTAATTCTATTCTGTTCTGTTCTGTTCTGTTCTGTTCTGTTCTGTTCTGTTCCGTTCCGTTCCATTCCGTTCCGTTCCATCCCGTCTCATCCCATCCCAACCCAACCCAACCCATACCATTAGTTCTGTTCTGTTCTGTTCTGTTCCGTTCCGTTCCGTTCCGTTCTGTTCCATTCTGTTCCATCCCATCCCATCCCATCCCATCCCATCCCATCCCAATGCATCCTGTCCCGTCCCGTCCCGTCCCGTCCCATCCCATCCCATCCCATCCCATCCCATCCCATCCCATCCCATCCCATTCCATTCCATTCCATTCCATTCCATTCTATTCTATTCTATTCTATTCTATTCTATTCTATTCTATTCTCTTGGATCTGACCTATTCTCTTTGGATCAGCTACCCTCCAAAAAGAATCTCTCCATCCTATTTGCACTAAAAGCTTCCTATTACAAGGAGTTCCACAGATTAAATAATAACATAGCTTTCTATCCTCCTGGCTACTTCTTTCTTACTCCATTGATAAATCTTTTCATTATATCTCCTTCGGTGCAATCTTTGAAAGTAGATTTTAATTGACAAGACAGGCAGGTACCCCCTACTCACAGAAGCAAGAAATCAGTTGAGAAGGCTAAATAGGACATTGGAAGCTTGGGCAGAATCCTAGAAAACCCATTTCACTGAGCTCCACCATAGCATTATTGATTCTCTCCCAGTTCTCCTATGAGAATCTCAGGCTGCAACTTGCTCTCCAGAAGCAGAGTAAAGTTGCAATCCCCCCCAGCCAGAAAAGGCTCCGGGATCAAATGTCAAATCCCAGGGATTCATGAAATTATTTCTTTCAAAAGGATGCTCTGCAGCCAAGTTATTGGAGACTGGGGAGAGTGTAGTGCATGTTTAATTTCTACCTGGGAAATATCCTACCTGAGCACCCAGTTCCTCTCTTGGACTCAAAGAACTGATTGAGGACAGAAGCTCTCAGACTGGGATTATAAAGCTGGCATTCACAATAATGTTGCAGCACTAAGGCAAAGTTGATCTTGATGCTAGGTTAGTGGTGAAGGTGAGGAATTCAATATTAAGACCGAAGCATCAGCTGGGAAGAAAGCTTTATAGTGTGATTGGATAAGGGAAAGGATCCATCGTATAAATATTTAAGCCACAAATATTCAGACGGCTGCCTCTTTCTGGGTTGCCTTTCTGCATGGCTGCTCTAACCTGGCAAACGTTTTGCAAAAGCTAACCAAGACATTCTATGACTCACCTCTCAGCTGAGGACGGACCCCATCCACAGAACCCTGGTTCTGGAAAAGAAGCAGGAGCAAGACTAGGGAGGCAGAAACGAGCATCATGATGGCTGCTAGGATGGAAAGCGAAGTGGGATTGTCTCGGTGGTGGCTTTGAGGTATTAATTTAAGGGGCCTTTCCCCAGGAAGGCAGGGGGCCAACCTCTAAGACGCAGGAATGATGGGGAGCGGGAGGGAGGAGATGGAAAAAGGATGTGTGGAAGGATGGCAATTGACAAGGAGAGGTCCCAAGGCCTTTCCCAGTACCTGAAATCGCCACAACGGCTTCATTGCTAAGCTAGGAAGTGGGAGGTTATAAAAGAGACCAGCGACAGGATCGGAATGCAGGGAATTTGAGCCCTGAACAGTGAAGGCAGTCAACTAAGGCTGAAGAAAAGAGTTTATCTGCCAATCACCAACTTTAATCTGGCCCAGGGTCGGCCACAGTAAGTAAACTGCTTCTACTGTCTTGGACCAATGGCCTTTTCTAAGTTCTGGAACACTGAGGACCATAAATAACGACATAAGCACATGGAACATTTCTCAAAAAAGGTATTAGGAAACAGTAACGCTCTTATTCATTTTTGTTAATATGCCTGGTGGTTGGGTTTGTTTTTTTTTTGTTTGTTTGTTTGTTTTTAGCATTGATTTGAAAGGTAAAAGAACTAAAAGTCACAGAGGAGATATACAACAACAACAACAATTTATTATTACAGTCTTAGACCAGAGCCCAGAACAAATAAAAGCACTCAGTGTGTGTGTGTGTGTGTGTGTGTGTGTGTGTGTGTGTGTGTGTGTGTGTATGCTAGTCATTCCTGACTCTAGAGGGCGGTGCTCATCTCCATTTCAAAGCCGAAGAGCCAGAGCTGTCCAAAGACGTCTCCGTGGTTATGTGGCCGGCATGACTCAACACCAAAGGTGCACGGAATGCTGTTACCTTCCCACCAAAATGGTCCCTATTTTTCTACTTGCATTTTTTACATGCTTTCGAACTGCTAGGTTGGCAGAAGCTGAGACAAGTAACGGGAGCTCAGTCCGTTACATAGCACTAGGAATTCGAACCACTGAACTGCCAACCTTCTGATCGACAAGCTCAGCGTTTTAACCACTGAGCCACCACTCAGTGGCTAAGTATAAATTCTAGTATAAAATAATAAATAACTAAAATCTATAATAAAATCCAGTGTCAATTATACATGGTCTGACTATACGATAGTTGCAATCCCTAAACTGTGTGGCCCCTTGTAGGTTCAACAGCTAAAAGGGAAAGGACTAAGCAGTGCAAAAGGTTTGCCACAATTGTTATATAACATCGCTATGGTGGAGAAGACATGTGTTTGCAACGAATCTCACAGGAGGAGATATAAAACTGAAAATTCAAAAAATGAAAATGAATTTTACATTTTAAAGCAGTCCTCAATCAGAACATTCCTCCCGATGGTTAGTGAAGAAATACAGCAATAGAAAGTGAGAAAGAAAAATGCATTGGCTAGAGAAGTGCCTTTTTATTCCATAATAATATCAGCAAAATTGTCCTTTGTTGATGACTTTCTGAGGTGAATCAGCATAGCGTGAGCAGCTGAAGTAAATACTTGCCAATAATTCTGATGATTTAGAAAAGTTTTGTGCACGTGCACTTTTTGGAGAGAAAAAAATTACCTGAGTAGAATTATGGTCATAGCAAATTTAATGTTTCAAACCAAGTTAATTCATTTAACCTAGGTTGATCCTTTTTACTGCTAATATCAAACTTTTTACAGTTTAGGATATGACACCCTTCACAAATACTATGTGTGGAAATATGTAAAATATATAACCCAAGAAGTAGTTCTGTGTGAGGAGGCCACAATTTTTCTCACAGACATCTACACACATACAGACCATGTATGTTAAATGCAAGCTGGGGTCCACAGGATTTTTTCAGGGATAAGACAAGTGGTGGTATTCAGCAGGTTCTATCCGGTTCAGGCAAACCGGTAGCAGTGGCTGCGGGAGACTCCGCCCACCCGCCCTGACATTATCACATCCCATTTTTGACACTCTGTGCATGCGTGGAAGGATCTGCGTGTGCGTGCGTGCCCACATTTGCAAACCAGTAGCGAAGGTAAGTGAATACCACCCCTGGATAAGACTCTCTGTTGGTGTTAACACTAGCACTGTGCTGAAAAGGTCCTATTGGACAAGTTGTCACCGAATATCTTTTGGGGGGATTGAGTAGAGATGTGAAAAGCCACATTTCTCACATTTCTCTACTTGCCAACTTGAAATTGTGTGGATGTCGACAATCCAGCATGGAGAATTCTGGAAGTTGATATTCACACACCTTAAAGTTGTGAAGCTTGAGAAGCACTTGTCCCTATCCTTGAGAAAAGGCTGAAGACTCTTCAATTTCCCTGTAAATTTTAGCAAAATCATCTAACCTTCTATCTTTGCCCGCTGACTTGCCCCCCCCCCCACATCCCAAAAAACTCCAGCCCTTATCTAACATTCATGGATATATCTAATGCACACATCTCTACGCTTTATAAGGAAACATATATTTGAACTACCTCTAGAATAAAATACACATTTTATTCTAATTCATTTAAAACGGCCCTCATTCCTTGGTAAATATTACACAGCCACATTATTAGGGAACAGAGTGGATTTTAAACAGCCAAGTGGTGGAGCGGCAGACTAAAGCACTGTTATTAACATCAGCTGCCTGCAATTACTGCAAGTTCAAATCTCACCAGGCTCAAGGTTGACTCAGCCTTCCATCCTTTCTAAGGTAGGTAAAATGAGGACCCAGATTGTGGGGGCAATAAGCTGACTTTGTATAAAATACACAAAAGTATGAAGGCTATTGCTTAATGCATTGTAAGCCGCCCTGAGTCTCCGGAGAAGGGCAGCATATAAATCAAATTTTAAAAAAAAAACTCTCTCCCAAACTGTATTTTTTTTTTCATGCATTGGCCTTTACACAAAGCTCTTTTGGTATAGACAAGTCCATATAGTCATGAAAGGGATTCATTCACAGCCTTCAGTAAATGAACTCTCTATGGCTGTTCTTAGTGTGAAGAAGGGGGAAAAAAGTCTGAATTTTCTCTGTGCCATTTTTCTATTTAAAAAAAAACCTGTGAAACTGTGGTATAGAAGGAACATTAACATTCTAAAAACACAGCAAGGCGTCTTTAGATTTTGTACATCAGTATTTATAGCTATGTGCAAGATAAAGAGACAGCAAGCATGTTTGGTATCAAAACATAAATCGTTTCCACCCCCGAGCTTCAAAGAGGAAGATCCTAGCATTTTATTTACCCAAAGGAAAAAAATGCATTCCTGGATTCGTCCCATGTCCATTTATAACAAAATGTATGAACTTTGAAGAGACCATTAAAAAAAGAACATGTCCCACCAGACGGTATAATTTCAAAACAACCTCCTGTGCATCTGGAGTTGACTTAGCACCTGCATTTGCTGGAGTTTGTTGTTTTGCCAGTGAAATATAGTTTGCTTTAGAGGCCTGGTTCCTTCTGTTCTTGACTTCTGAGCCTAACCAGCTGGCTTAGTAGACAGAAGGCCTTTTCTGCAATGACATCAAATTGTGGAGCTACAAAAACTGTGTGGTTGTCCACAGGAAAGAGAAACTATTGCTCTAGAACCGTGATGGTGAACCTATGGCACTGCTCTAGAAGTTGCTTAGATATACGTCCTTTTTTTCTACCAACACTTGGGCAGTGATCAGATCTTCCTACTGCATTGAAAGCTACACATCAACTATTGCGCTATCCAAAACAGGGAACGAGCAAAAATGTAGTCCAGTAAAGAAAGGTCGATGAGCAAGAAACTCTCAAAACAAAGGGAAGGCAACAAGGTTAGGTAAAATCTTGTAGAGTGTTCAAAATAGCAGAGGAAGAACCACAAACCTAGAAGAGCAAGCACAGAGCATAGTCAAAGAAAGATTGAGATCTAGGAGTTCAAGTGAACAAGCAGTAGCAAGTTCAAGTGAAGCCGCACTGCATATCGAACATCAATACAATTGAGAGAGTCCAGAGATATTTTACAAGAAAAGTCCTCCATTCCTCTAACTGCAATAAAATACTTTATGCCACCAGACTTCAAATTTTGGGCTTAGACAACTTAGAACTATGCTGACTTCAGTCTGACCTAAGCATAGTACATAAAATTATCTGCCACAATGTCCTTCCTATCAATGACTACTTCAGCTTCAACCACAACAATACACGAGCAAATAATAGATACTAACTCAAGGTAAACCGTTCCAAACTCAATAGCAGAAAATAAGACTTCAGTAACAGAGTGGTCAATGCCTGGAATGCACTACTTGACTCTGTGGTTTCTTCCCCAAACCCCCAAAACTTTAACCTTAAACTGTCTATTGTTGACCTCACCCCATTCCTAAGAGGTCTATAAGGGGCGTTCATAAGCGCACCAGCGTGCCTACCGTTCCTGTCCTAATATTCCTTTTTACTTACTCTTTTCATGTATTCAAATTATGTTTATACTGTTACCTGTTATCTTACACTGTATATGCTTAACAAATAAACTTATGATTATGATTATGAATTCCAGGTGCACAAGTGACAGGAAAGGCTATCATCAACATTACTAAGAAGTTGATTCTCTTCTGCTCGAGATCTTTAGGCTGAACCCAGCTGGAAGTTCTTAAGAGAGCATGGACTCAAGGAAATCAGCCTTGAAGCCTGGACCATTCTATTTGTTGCCATAGACTCAGCAACAAGCCTCTTCTCACTAGCTTGAGGGCTGTCAGATATCTCCTAAACTGCAGATCCAAAAGAGATTGAAAGAGCTACTTTGGAGACACAGGTCCCTGCTCAAATCTCCCTTGGTTCTTTCTCCAATGTTTCTATCCTTTCCATCTTCATATGAAAGATTCATCCAAACAGGCTATGAACACACACTATGCATGTGAACACCTTTCCCTCCCAGGAGCTGCATGACAACACAGGACAACTATAGGCAGATGTTGTAGATATCCAGGCAGATAAGGATTCAGTTTAAGTTTTATATTCATCCCTGTTAAGGATGAAGAGAGCTGCCAGTTCATCAAAAGCCATTCCTTTGGTAGAATTCTTGTAATCCCCATATTGTTTCTTCTGGGTAAATTTAGTGAAAGAATAAGTTCCTGATGTTCATTTTTGTCAGAATCTACAGATGTCTCAACTATGGATTTGATGTAACCTGCTCTGCAGAAGACCGATAAAATCACACCACAGTCCCAAACTCAGACTAGGAACACAAGAGGTTGAAGGACAAAACACAACTTACTCCCAATTCTTTGTCCTCATAGCCCAAGACAAGAAGAGCAAAGTCAATATGAAATGATGCCAAAGCCAAGTAAATGAGCTTTGAATTGCTATTTTCACACCCCATGCTAACCATGTTATATAAATAATCCATATTCTGAGCTGGCACAATACACTGAACCATAAATTAACCCAACCCATAAATTAACTCAATTTCACAGCACCCTAAGCAACAAC